AGAGAGAGAGAGAGAGAGAGAGAGAGTTAAGATAACTTTTACCAACTCCGATTAACTTTAACCGACGATTGAAGTTAATTGAAATTGACAAGTTACTCTTATTGTTAGAAGTGTGAGAATTATTTCAAATTTGAATCAAATCTAATCACAATGAAAACTTCTTCTACTCACAGCTATTATTTAATTAGAATATATATCTTGCAAATCAAGGCTTTTGTGTCTAAAAGAATTGCGTTTTCACTAAGTTTTAACTAAGATTTTGGATAATTTTAAGTTTTACTTTTGAGTTCAGCATCTGTAATAATATTAAAATAGACTGATTTCAAATTTTGACTTTACCATCCTTGTCTGAAGAAGAACAGAAGTTAAATTTCCGATATTTAGAGATAAGTAATTTATATTGTTCATACGTAATTAAAACAACTCACACAAATTCAGATACATATACACTAAGCAAAAAAATTAAGGAAGCACTTTAAAATCTGCAAATTTTGTCGACATTGAGAAATTAATATCTCGACTTCCAGGAATCGCAAAACATTGTTCCTTAGTGTATGTTTAAGGCTGCATTCGGGCAGCGCGCTATTAGCGCCATTTGTGTGGTACGTCCTTGTCTCACGTCTAATGGACGACGAAGATAAAATGAAACAAATAGCGCTAATAGCGTCTCCCCGAATCTAGCCTAAGAGTAAAGCCTCTTTAAAATGGCTTTTAAGTGAAATTTTTCGTCCCCCGGCCATTAAAGTGTTTTTTTTTTTTTTCGTGAAAAGCAAAAGCAGAAAGTGTTAGAGTCTTGAAAATGTCATGATATTGCAGCCTTCCACGGGCAAAACAATAACAAGACGAAAAATGTCATTTAAACCATTTTAAAGTAGAGGCTTTACCCTTTAAAACGCGCTAAGGAACAATAATGTTCTGTGATTCCTAAAAGCCGAGATATTAGTTTCTTAATGTCAACAAAATTTGCAGGTTTTAAAGTGCTCCCCTAATTTTTTGCGTAGTGTACCTACTTAAACATTTTTAGATAAATACATATTTAAAAAATTATTCGTTTAAATTAGCTTTTAAGTTAAATATATTTAAAGTGTTAATTACACCTAAATCTCTATTGATTATTACAGAAAGGAGCCAAGAAATATTTTGGTCGACGTTGGAAGCGTTAATCTTGATTTTCCTGAAACTAGACATACGGTGTACAATCTAATAGTACACCCTGATTACAACAGAATGCTATTTTTAAACGATATTGGTTTAGTTAATCTAACATCAGAAATCAAGTTCAATGATAAAACTAATTTAATAAATTTAGTATCTTCCGACAGTAATTACGATGGTTTGAACTTTACAGTTACTGGCTGGGGAAGTCTTTCGGTAAATACGATGAGAAATATTTTTTATATCTCTTTCAAAATTATTTAAAATTGTACCAGATATAAGGATCTTGTAGCTAAACTAAAGTGTACACTTGTATTTAAATTGTAATAGATGTACTATATTTTAAGTTTTACAAAAACAATAAAGAATAGTTTTTGTACAGTCTAATTCAGCGACAAAGAAAACAGGCCTATGAATTTATTTCTATTTAAAAATCGGGACATATCATGTTTAATTAAAAATATTTATTTTTATTTTTAGTGGGACGGTTTAAATTCAAAATACCTTCAACAAATTGTAGTGCGGCAATTTCCTCAGGCTAGTTGCGCCCAAGTTTCAATATACAAAGACATCACCGATCATCATATATGCACCCTTAATGCGTATGGTCAAGGAATGTGCAATGTAAGTATATCCATAATCATAAAATAAATTATGTGCACGTTTATCTTGTAATTTACCTTTATCTTTCCATAAATTATAAAAAAGCCATCTTGTTGTTGCTTTCTTTAGATAATTGATATCAAGTTGATATCAAAGAATAAAAGTTCTGTCTTCTAGATAATTTATCATAATTAGTCATTTCTGATACAAAACAGTCACTGTAGATTGCTTTACAAAAACAGCTAAAGTCATTTGACGGTTATACATGTATAATGTATATATTTACATCATACATTAATATTTAAATTTTAAATAATAATATATACATAAAAACTGGCTAATATTATATACAATATAACTGGCTAATATAATATTAAATACACTGTCTTGGCAGGGTGATTCCGGTAGTGCACTCACTTACCAAGGCAACCTGGTTGGCATCATGTCTTATAATATACAGCCATGCGCCAGTGGTTGGCCAGATTTGTTCACCAAAGTATACTATCACAAACAGTGGATTGACAGTAATATTAATAATAATGATGATAATAATGGTAATAATGCAGGCAGCAATCAACAATTGAATATCATTCTTGGAATATTTATGTCATATGTATGTATTTTATTTATGTAAATACGTTTATTAAGTAAATACACATATTTTATTACATGTACCTGTGATTAATCATCAATTTTAATGATTAATGAACATTAGCAAAGATAAAAATCAATTCTTGAGAAAAAAATTATATTTTTGCTTCTGATGAATTATAATATTAGGGGGTTGCATTAAAAGCTGTTCACGTTTAGATGGCTCTAACTGCGTATGCTGTGGTCAAAGACATCTATTACTTACGTCATTTTAAAATGTGAACATTTCTAACTAAAATTTAATCAACAAACACCATCCTTGTTTATACATGTGCTTTTCTATAACTGAATTAAAATGGAACTCAATAAGTTGTTTTCCCGACGTATACTTCTACACTATTTTAATTTGAAAAAAATGCAGAAACATCGGAAACAGTATGTAGAGACTGGTTTCGACGATTCAAAAATAATGATTCCACGGTCACAATAATTGTATTATAGGAGGATGGACTTGAAATAAAATTGTTTTTAATTTTTATTCATGGAAGAATTTATGTCGAACAAATAATAACAGGGTTAATATACTATATATTTTAAGAATATTACATATTTAGAAAATCTAAATATATATACATTCATAAAGCATATAGAAAACTATGAAAATTTTACTTAATCTATCTTTTCATGTATCTTATTGTTTCGACGACAATTACTTATACGCATATGAACATGGATAACGTGTATACGGAAGCATTAATAATTATTTCTCGAAAATAGTATGTTGTAATATAACTTTATTACACATGGTTGAATTCGTAAAAAAATAATCTTTAATTTGGTAAAGAAAAAATATGAAAATTTAAAAAAATTATGGGTGGTGGGGGTACTTTGTTAAACAAAAAAATTAAAAGAATTTTTTTTTCTTTATATTTTTAAAGTACTCTTAAAACCGTACAAATTTTGTTTAAAAAAATTTTTTATATCTTTTATACTTCCGACGATATTCGCCTCGGAAGAAAAATACCGTTTTTTTTTTCAAAGAGGTGTTTCACACCCCTTAAACATGAGTTAGGGCACGTATAAAAAAATACGTATCTCTTAGATTTTCGTGCTTTAACAACATACTTCATGGAGAATCAAATCGGAGTCGGACAGTTGTGATACTTCCCTTGTTAGTTTAGCGAAGTATATCTCGGATCAGCGATAAAGTAACAAACAGATATGACAAACATATGAGGGTACATTGATAACAAACTCTAAGTGGATTTACTGTTGCAAAAATGTCAACATTCGTCACGTAAGAATAAATACAATTTAGTAGTATATACCAGACCTGATTTTTGTTTAACACTCATTTATCGTACTACTATATTCTTTAAATTTGGGATTTTATAAAATTACAATAAGCTAAAGGTTAGCTACAATATATACAAAGCTGAGCATTTAAAATACTTTTTTGCTTAAAATCAATTGAGTAAGTTAATTTTTTTTAAACTGACAAGTTAAAAATTAACAATCTTGAAAATTTAACTTAGTTAAGATACAAGTTAATGTATAATATAATGAAATTAATTGAATTAAAAGTTAAGTTAACCCTTGTGTACGCAACCACAACGTTGTTAATCCCTTCATTACAACAAAAATTCTTAAAAATTTCTAACTGCACCATTTGCTAAAAATTGAGTTAAATAACGACGATCCGGACGTCCCAAGCGAAATTTTAATTTTCAATCCACTTACATGCAAAAACGTACCGTGGTGGAGTACCCGGGTACTCGGTTGCGCACACAAGGGTTAATAAAAAAAAGTAATTAAAAAGTTAAAAATTAAAATTTTTTTTCACGATTTTAGGGTTTTAGGGTCTTAATAATACTGGAAATGACAATTTAAAAAAAACTTTATTTAGATTTTAGAACGTACTCTATATTTTATTATATTGTATATTTTATAATATTAATTTTTTTATAATTTTATATACACGTTTTGTTTCTATATACAGGGTGTCATTAATCGATTAAATCACCTATATTAAAAGCATGTAAAGTAAACCGAACTGAGTCGAAAAGTCTTATACCATTTTGCAGTTTACGCAATATTTACGAGATATTAGACCTTAAAGATAGCCGAATAAACGCGTTCGTTCGGCCTACTATTGCCGAATATTCGCTATCGTTAGCTTAGCGGGAAGTGAGAAGCGCCCCGCATACTATAATGCTTACACTGCTGATTTAAAAGAAATTACAGGAAAAGTTATTCGTATCATCTCGTCCACTTATTCTGAGAATATAATACACTCTCTTATACATTATCTATATACAAATAATATGGGGATCGATACGCAAATATGATAACGTCGATCGACAGCTATATAAATCAAAAATCGCACACGTTATGTGCGCCTCAGTATAACTACCACTATAAGTTTGTTCTCGGTTGATGGCACTTAAGTGCAATATTTTTCGAAGATTTTAAACACGCAAAGGCTTCATGTTTTCTATCATCGGTGTTATAATCGCGTGCCTAATATATCACACTCATGGTAAGTATATTTGTGAAAATTTTATTGCAAAATCATAAGATGTAAATTTTAACGCAAGTTTTAATGTATCACAAAAAGTTCAAATGTGTATCACAATAATATTGCTCAGATTGATATTGATAAGTGTACGTAACGTTCGGCGATATTGTTTAAACAAGCATTAATAATTGCATTTTTATCTTAATTTTATAAATTGACACAACAATTTTTCTGACATTTACATGTTTTAACAACCATGCACTTGGCAATCCTGTAAAGATTTTTTAAATATGTTTATACTCGCAACACACTCATTCCGTGCTTGTCGTATTAAATTTATATATTATTAAATAACAAATAAATATTAAAATAAAGAAAATAATTAATATCTGAGGAAACAAACGTTTGTAACAGTTTGAAATTAATATTTTTAACAAAAGATGCATTTTTTTATTAATAAATCAAAATTTTCAATTGATAGGTTTGCCAGATCCGCAAATCGTAGGCGGCTACGACGCTTCGGATGGCGAGTATCCTTATCAAGTGTCACTAAAATTAAGTACTGGACAGCATATTTGCGGTGGAGCTATCATTCACAAGAAATATGTTATCACCGCGGCGCACTGTTTCGAGAAGTACGTACATTTCTTTTCAAAATCTTAGAAAATATTCAACTATCTTTTATTCTTTAATAATTGTACAAATAAACGAAATACCATTGCATTTTCTATATATTCGCAATTTATAAGTAAACCATTATTATTTAAAAAAAATTTTATAAAAAACATGCAACAATTTTCGATATTTACAGATTTATATTGTATAAGCAATATAGGCACGATTACAATAACCAGGGCCCCCCAAAACAATAGTGATTTTTTTGAAAGAAATTCTAGCAAAGAACACGAGAAAAATAGTAAAAAAAATTCGTAGGTTTCGCCCCTTCCTGCTGGAGGGCTACACTACTGTTAAAAATAACCTAATCCAATCCATTTATTGGTGTGAGGTAGCTTTCGCTTCGAGTAAAAAGTCGGAACACATGTAGCTAAACTCAATAAATATCCTAGGTATTTATTTCGCTGCGATGTATTATATATATATAACTGAAAGGCATGCTAACATGATTTACGCGCGCGCGTTTTTCTGAAAGAAACTTTTGTTGTGATTTGACGCACACTAGCTTACATATTGACTAAAACGTCCTCGAAAGATATAATACACATTCCATTGCTGTTAGTAGTATTAGTTCTTCGAAATCACATTTATATATAATGCCACCGCATCGAAATATCCGCGAGAGATGTCACTTGATGAAGAATTTAATTTTGGCGACAATTCTGATAATGAGTTAAGCCCCGATTCATAATATACATTATACAGTATATTATGTAAAAGATATGTTATATTAAATATGTATTTTCGTATTTTCGTTTTTTTTTTGTTTATACGCATTAAAATCCTTTTTTTCTTCCTAAAGCGCGTGAAAAGTTGCAAGCTCACACAATGGTATCTAAACATAGATAATAACCGTAGAATTCAAATCCAGTTATTTTTATATCTATTGGTAGAAAAATGTTTTTACTATTTTCTCGTATTTCTATCTATAAATGCTTCTCAAAATCGCTTTCATTTTGAGGAGCCCCAGTTATCGTAATCGCCCCGCAATATGCAAAAAAATAATAAGAGTTCAGAGGAAATAAAAATCTCTATTGATTATTACAGTCGCTCTAGATCAGATATTGTCATCGACGTTGGAAGCATTCATCTTTTTAATTTTGAAAGTAGATATACAGCTTACAGCCTAATAATGCATCCTCATTACAACAAGACAAAAAACATAAACGACATTGGCTTAGTTAATTTAACGACAGAGATCAGCTTTAGTAAACACACCAAATCGATAAATTTAATATCTTACGACGAAAATTTCGAAGGTTTTGACTTTATAGCTACTGGCTGGGGAATGCTTTGGGTAAATATAAGAAATATATTTTATATCTGCTTCAAAATAATTTAAAATCGTACCATAAGTTTTTAAGAACAGTATATACGTAAAAGCGCGTTTGTTATATTTAAATCATAATACATATATACATATACTACGAAAAAAAAAACTAGGGGAACACTTTAAAACCTGCAAATTTTATCGATTTTGAGAAACTAATATCTCGGCTTCCAGGAATCGCAGAACGTTGCTTAGCGCGTTTTACAGGGTAAAGCCTAAAGGTTCTACTTTAAAATGGCTTAAGTGAAATCTTTCGTCCCATCCAACTATTTTGTTCGTGAAAATCAAAAACAGAGAATGTTAGAATCTTGAAAATGTCATGATATTGCAGCCTTCCATGGCCAAAGCAACGACGAGGAGAAAAACGTTACCTCAGATACAACTGAGTTATCAGGTTCCAAAATAGACCCAATTTTTTGCAAGATTTTGGTTAAATACCACCGTATAACTCAGCTCCTATGGCAAGCTAGAGAACAATTTTCATTACCTCATTTTAAAAGAAATGTTCTCGGCTTCAAAACTGATGTGATAACGTTTTTCGCTTCGTCATTGCTTTGCCCGTAGAAGGCTACAATATCATGACATTTTCAAGATTTTAATACTCTCTGCGAAAAATTTCACTTAAGCCATTTTAAAGTAGAGGCTTTACCCTTTAAAATGCGCTAAAGAATAATGTTCTGCGATTCCTGAAAGCCGAGATATTAGTTTTTCAAAATCGACAAAATTTGCTGGTTTTAAAGTGCTCCCCTAATTTTTTTGCGTACCTATATATAGTGTATATATATATATATATATAGATTTACTTCTATTTTAAAATTAAGATATTAGACATTAAGTAATAATAAAAATATTTTTTTAGCCCGATGGTCCGTTATCAGATCGCCTACAAAAAATTAAAGTAAAAGGATTTTCTCAAACTTTGTGCGTCAAAACGTATCCAAATATTACCAATAATCACATATGCACTCTTCCAGCGTCGGGTCAAGGAATGTGCTGTGTAAGTATATGTATAATTATAACCGTAAAATAAATCGTGTACACTGTACACGTTTATCCCGTGATAACTTTCAGTATAAAATATAAAATATAAATTATAAAAGAAAATTATAGCAAAAAAGAAAGTAATCAGGTGCTTTATCTATGTTGGTATTATATTGAGTCATATCAGAGAATGATAAATCAAATTTTTCTTTCGTTTAGATAATTTATCAGAATTATAATCATATCCGACGGAAAAGCAATTAATTATTTTATAAAAAAAAACTTTTAAGTCACGCGGCAATTGCTTACATTATATACTAATATTTAAAGCGACACTCAATGAGATTTTAAGGCGTATATATAAAATCCATTCTACAATTACGTAAGTTGTGAATCGTTGTAGTCATAAGAATTGACCAACTACAGTTGAATATTCTCTTCAAACTCGAGAGTGTAGTTAATTCAGTTCTTACAACTATAATAATTTAAAACTATGTGTTTATATAGAATGGATTTTAAATTTTCAGCCTAAGAAATTGACAATCGAACGTGAAGAGAATAGTCGACTATATGATTGATTAATTTCTTATGGTTTAGAGACTAAAATTTAATAAGTTTCATATCTTAAAATTTCATTATAGACACCGCTTAAAAAGATCGCTAAATTATTGAAAAATGCTGACGAACATTGTATTAAATATCATGTATCGGCAGGGTGATTCCGGTGGTGCACTTACTTACAAAGGCGATCTGGCTGGCATCGTATCCTTTGGTAAATGGCCGTGTGCCAGTGGCTATCCAGACGTGTTCACCAGGGTATACTATTACAGACAGTGGATTAACGATACTATTAATGCAGATAGCAAAGTGTACTGTTACGGACAGCAGAATAACAATACTATTAATGCAAGCAGTAACCAACAATTCAACATCTTTCTCGGACTTTTCATGATGTATCTATGTATACATTCATTTCTTTAAAGATGTATATATACTTTACTGCCTACACTTGTTATCAATCATCAATATTTTAATTATTGATAAATACTGTAAAATTCGTTCTTAAGAAAAAAATTGTATTATTGCGGATATTTAATTATAATTTAATTAATATTGATTTTTATTACATACATAATATACACGTATGTACGTGTACATATGTAGTTTTATACATATAAAGGAAATTCGTTAAAAATTCAAACAAAATAAAAATAATATATTGCTGTAGAAATAAATCGTAAATATTTTGAGATACTCTGATAATTTATTTTAAATTTATTATAAACTATATAAAAAACAAAAATTTTAAGCCCTTGAACGTCTTATTTCGATTTCATAAATTTTGCCCAGACGCTTGTTCCCGTTGACATGAAAAAAAAAAACGTTTCATATATAAAATATCATTCAAATATTCAAAATTTACCACTAACCTCTTTTAATAATTTTTTAACAAATTTGATGCCAAATTTTATTTTAAAAAATATAAAGATAATCGTCATTTTTGTTGTTGATTTTTATAAATATTAAAATATATTTAATAATACTTAAAAAGTACATAATAATCACATACACAAACAATTACGAATTCTATTACATTATTCTATTTTTTCGAAACAAATCTATTTAATACACCATAATCTTTATTTTGATTCTCTGTCTTTGTCGTCATTGTCTCCTTCTGTTCTTCACGAAGTGTTTCAATCATTTCCTGAAAATAGCAATTTATATCATTTAATATCTAATTGATAAGTATAACAAATAACTTGGTTTAGAATATGCAAAATGCGCGCTTACTCGACGATTTAGATCCTTTAATATTTTTTTAGTTTTTATTATTTTTGCAGTGCCACCTTTTCCCTTAGCTTTTGTTCGTCGAGGTTCAAAGTTTATCGGTTTGGGCTTAATATACTAAAAAAAATATATATATATTGTTAAAAATGTCAAATACTATTATATTATGCAAAATGAGTTAAATTTAAAATATTTTTGTTTGTTACTTACCAAAAGCTTTTTCTTTGCTTCCATTTTTTCTTTGTACGTAGGTACATCAACTTCGTGTATTTCGGTCGAATCTAGAGTAATCAATTCGGGTTGTATCTTTTCTAAAAGTGCTTTCACTTCCGTCTCTCGTCTTTGACTTTTAGTTTGATATGGATTAACTTCATATGCATCATAATTTGCTTCTGCACTTCCTGGCACCAGAAGCGACGAAAATTCATTAGCTGTAGAAATTCCTAAGAAATCTTCATAGGGACAAAATCGCACACAGTTCACATTGCGAGCAGTTCTATGTCGTAAATATAGATTGAAATCACCAGAAGTTTCTCTAATATAAAAATAAATATAGATGATAAAAACTCCTCAGTTGTAGTGTGTGTGTAGTACTTATTTTATATTAATAAATTACCTATATATTTCAACTACATTGCCAATTCCAAGTGCGAGCAAACCGCGCTGACTGTAAGACATACGATGAGCAGGTGAACGAAGATGCAAGTGACTCACTGGTCCTGCTAAATTCCTAATATCCCATATCTTCACAGATCTATCTAGAGAACTAGTTGCCATGTAAGTCCCATATGGGTGAACAGTGCACGTCATAATTGACTGATGGTGGCAAAGCATTTTTGCCAATGGTTTATGAGAGTTTGGAGACCACATAGATACTATTCCTTTCGAGTTACCCACACATAGCACTGCATTACTTGGATTTTGTGTCATCACCTACCATAAATTAATGATTGTCAGTAAACAATATCTGAGATACAACATGAACAATTGAAAATAAATGCAAACTTTTATAAAACTCACAGATATTCTGCCCAAATTAGAGTTATAACGAGCGATTAGCTTGCCTATAGAAATATCCAACCAAGCCATATGACCGTCCTTTGATCCACTAGCAAGTAAAAAATGATATGGTAAAAATTCCAATCTTGTTACGCCATTCATTCTTTTCAAGCAATGTAATTCTATTCCCTGATTATCATATACATAAACCCAATCTTTTTGCGCTACTGCAAACATAGTCTCCAAATGTAGCCATGTAACATCGTGCACAGATTCCATCACGTTTATTTCACAGGCCAGTTTCTTCGTCACCCAGTCGAAAGCTGCTACATGACCTTGTTTCCCACCTAAGAGCAAGTGTCTACCATTTCTAGTATATCTGAAACAGTATGGGCCAAATTGCAAATCTAATTTGAAACGTTTAGCCGCACTCGTTATGTCCACATTCTCTACTATTTGTTTCTGTCTATATTCGGTAGTAACTTCTCCAGGTTCTGCTTCCAAATAGCCATGCTCCTCGGTCAATAATAGTTCTGTCCGAGCAGAAGCTTCTATCTGTTCTTCTATAGCTTGCTCTTTCTGTTTTAATTTCGTCCTCAGTATTTTGTTTTTTATAATACATGTCTTTTTACTTCTGAACTCAAGTCCAGGACCTTTGGAATATTTCATTAATACTTCTTTTTTAACTGGCACCTTTTCAGGGTATTTCTTATTAATTGGTATCCTTTCATGATGCTTTTTATTCACTAGAAATGGCAAATATAATTTTTATAGCACAAAAAGGACAACTAAGAAAATAAGTACAAAATATGACGTAATATAAATAATTTATAGTAGTTTACTTCAATTTTGTAACATTTCTAGATTTGTAAAATTTCTAGATTTGAAAGTTGTTTAAGATAGAAATTATTATCTCCTTTCAATATTAAATTATATGTAATGACTTTTCATAAGTTCATTGCATTTATATATTTTTCCTTTATACAAGATCTCATAACTTATTTAATATTTCTGAGAGTAAAAGAAGATACAATTTTGAAACTAAAAATTTCTTTCTTATATATAATTTTGGCTCAGGCTATTATCTATCGAATTATTAACAATTATAGTTCGTCAATCAGATAGTGCTCAGCCGGAGTACACAGAAGCACAGCATACTATAGGACTCCTTGTGTTTATTGTACATTCACCCCGTTAAAATTTTATTATAATTTTTTGTATTAATTGATAAATAAATTAATAAAAGATTTTTTTTTTATTTATTTTTACAGTAATAAATTAAATTAAGAGTTATGGGACATCCTGTATACTATCCAGTAATGAGAATGGATTAAACAGGATTGAAATTTTAACTATCCAAATGCGTATTTTAAATAACAAAAACTTTGTTTATTCAATTGTATTAAATTGGATTTAGTTGGATGAAAAACAGGATTAAAAAACTGTATTTCCAATTCACAATTTTGAACAGAGTTCATGAGGTAAAAAGCTGATATTATTGTTAGATTGAAAGGCACAGAACATGCTCCATTCAATTCGTATAAATAAATTAAAATGCATTCGAATTGAAAAGAATTATTTTAACGTTCGCGAATGCACATTTCTAAAAATATGAATCAATTTCAAGTCATTTCAATCCACTCTCGTTTACAGGAACGTACACGTGAGTTAACCTATAACTGTAATTTAATGTATTGATTAAATTAGTGAGAAAAAGAAAATAAAAAATCGAACAATAAAGGATAATTTCAGTGCTCATACCTGGTCGTTCCATTGTGTTTCTATTGTGTTTTTTATCAAATATTAGTTTCTATACTAATTATTATGGATACACATAATAATGTACATTTTAGGGTGACTGTTACCAACGCCGATTAACTTTAATCGACGATTAACTCAATCCACAGTGTAGCCAACAGCAAGATTGCGTATCGTTCTTAAGATACAACCACAATAGAAGGAATAAGAAATAAGAAATTTAACCTATCAGAAATCGAATACATTGGTATACATAGTTTCTGATAGGCTAAAGCCCAAGACACAATGCGAGGGAATAGCGATAGCGATAAGTTTCAACCTAACAAAAATGTGTATTCCGGTGTATTCGATTTCTGATAAGTTGAAACTTATCGCTATCGCTATTCCCTAGTATTCGTGTCTTGGGCTTAAAATGGCTTATTTCATTTATTCCTAATTCCGTATTCCTTCTATTGTGGCTGTACCTTAAATACCATCTGCCTATGATAATTCATATCTCAAAAATATGTAATTAAAACAAGCAAAAAATGTTACGGATAGTGAAAACGATGATTTAATAGATGATTGATTGAATGATTTAATAGATGTTATGATTACATTTAATAATGCGCGGGAAAAATGCGAGATGATAACCAATGGGCGAGTTCAAGACGGCAAAGCGGCTAGATTCGCTTGCCGAGCGATCGAATATGATTAGTTGGATCTATAAGTAATAACCAATTATGGTCGATCGCTCGGCAAGCGTACGTACCTAGAAAATGTACACAGAGCAAATTCATTAGGAACAAATCCTGTGATTAGCTTGGCAACACTGCTGCGAGACACGCGTCATTCGCTGTTCACGTTTCGTCGTAGGTCGTAGGTCGATTATGATTGGAGCATGCGCTGACACACTCCCGTTCACCTATTCCGGTTCCCTTCTCTCGCGATACGTGGGGGTGATTGTCATTCATGATTAGTCGTAACGTTCTTGACCGCGACGAGGTTTATCGCGTTTCCAAGTTTCCACGTACGGTATTACGTCTACGCGTACCTCGTCGGAAACAGTCAAGGTTTTAACGCAGTACGTACGCTTTCCTCGTCGCTCGTGTGATACTCGGCTCCGTTCAGCTCCGTTCGGATTGATCGATCGCAGAGTGAAATTCGCCGCACGCGAAGGACCCATTTGGCGCTTTTTCCATGAGTGCGCGATGTCGCCTCTCTCCTGATAACGGTGATATCCGATCCCGGTCGTCTTCACAATAATGGGATCTTTGCCGTCCTAATATGCGGTAGGTAGCCGATCAAGATTTTGTGGGAAAGGGATGAAAAGAAAGAAAGAAAAAAAAATGTGTTTTAACGTGCGCGGCATTATTCGCGAAACCGCGTGGCGATTGATCGCGGTGAAGTTGGTTTTGGAATTGTCCGAGATCCGCGCAATTACAGCCAGATTACAGTCGTATCCCTGGAAAGTGAGAAAAGAAACAAAAGGAGAAGGCAGCACGAGTGGAAAGAAAAAAAAAAAAAAAAGAACGAATGCTTAGACGTAACGTAAGCTGTTCCTTCGTGGCGGACATGTCGACGTAATGGCGTCACGGCTGTCTTTTGACCGCAGATAAATGCATTCCGCTTTCCCGATTGCCGCAACGGCGGATTCTGGCGCCCTTCAATACCGTTCCCAATACAGAATTGCACGTGATTATACTTCATTACAACGACGCCATCCTTGATGCGTAACGCTTGATGGATATCCACGCATATCTAATCGATTTCAGTCTTGATATTTTTCAATAAGATTTAATACACTTCTTACATACTGTAATCAAATTGAGAAGAAGAGAGCGGATACCTTGCATTTCGATAAATTTTCATGAAATTTTCACTTCAACTACAGAGATATACAGCAAGTGGATGGTCTTACTCTTGTAGCAGACGAGTACTTAACTGATTTGATCTGTAGGTTAATCAGACGTGACCAATAAGTTCATGTTTTCAAATCAATGCTCTTACAATGCTCCACATTTAGTATTACAGAGTTATTCTCTAAGTATTGTAAAATGGAGCAAAGTCAACAAATTAATTTGTTCTCAATGGATGTTATTTGTGTCTCATTATTGCAGTTTATTCATAATTGGTTCTTATATTTAAGTCTATCTTAAGTACAATTTTTTTGCCTATTCTTTTTAGATAAACTTTCACTTTTTCATCTTTTCTCTTATTTTTCTCCAAAATGAAGAAAAAGAGAAGAAAGATAAGCTATATAAGTTCAGCTGAAAATAACACTTTTAAGAAGTCTTAAACCAATCATAAGAGTTATATTAGCAACTTAAAACATTACTTAACTAGACAGTTTTAATAAAATAAGTATTTCAGGTATAAACATAAAAAACAATTTTTATTGCTCTATGAGAGAGCTTAGTACAGATAGATTATTCCAATATATTTACATAAAACTGTTAGAGAGATTAAATATGATAAATATAATTAAACTGATATAATGTTGTGCTTCATAGATGATATATAATGATTATATTAATTAATATTATAAAATCTCTTAAAATAAGAATAAAGTAAATAACAGTTTACAAAATTACAGCTTTAAAGCATAACTTATGATTTAATCATTTTTATATACTTATATTTGTCTGTTTCAGATGAAATATTAGTCATAGTATTCAGTCAGTGATACAATTCGTCGGCATCATAGCATTGATGAATAGAAGATTTTGCATATAAAGGCCTCTTCTACATTTTAACATCCAACTGCGAATTAGTGGTGGAAATGGCAGATGAGTGCAGCGAGGTCAAGTCGGCAGGACCATCTTCGCCAAGGAGTCCTCAGGGTAGCAGTAACAGTGGAAAGCCCAGTAGCCCACATTCACCTAAGCAACCAAGACGCGTGAAACTAACGCAGCAACAATTGGACAGCTTGACAAAGGACGAGCTAGCGGCCAAATGGCATGAACAGGACTTGTATGTGGAGTGTCTAGAAGCCCAGTCGGCAGCTCAGGAAGGTACTGAGATCACACGAGTGAGACCATCTCACTCACCACATTTCTTAAGCGAATTAACGAATGCCAGGATACAACGATATTTTGTAAGAGACAAGACTCTCGTAGAGACGCTAAGCATAGGGTTCATTAGATCAGTGTTTAGGATATTGTCATTAAGTTGTTTATTAGGCTTAAGGTAGCGAGAAAGCTTTAATAAATAAGTACTCCAGGTATAAACATAGAAAACTATTTATTGATCTATGAGAGAGCTTAATACACGTGCGATCAGATTATTTCAATGTATCTGCACAAAAGTACTAAAGAAATTAAATATGAAATTGAGATAATGTTATACTTCATATATGATATAGTGATTATATTTATATTAATTTTCAAAACTACATTTGTGATGTGTATAGTGCGGGTAATTAAAGATTCATATGTATCGTGATGTAAGGCGATAATTCTCAATGTAATTGTGAGCACGGGTGGAGTGACAGCCACATATATGACATACAAAAAGAGATACATTTAGTCTAAATTTTTTTGTGAGCAATTATATTGCCAGCCATGAAAAAGCCATGATTAGCGAATAAAAGTGAATATGGCTGAGCTAACAAGTGCTTATGTGTGTCAACAAACGTCAATGAGGTTTCTCTGCAAAAAAAAAACGTGTCTACCATCGATGTTGTGGCAGACACAACATTGCTCAAAATGTCATTTCACAAGTGCCCTGTGCAGTGCATCGCGTTTATCTCTGCAGTGTAATAATTACACTGTCAAAAAAAATGCAGGATAGTGTGTGCCGTGCGTGTAATTCGAAATATCGGGTTCTAGTTAACGAAGATGAGATGAAAAGCTGCATTTATATGATGGCGCTGAATTTACGACTCAGAGGAATAATAAGAGTGGATCCGTGTCATCATTTGGCCTACAAAATACTGCACCTGGGGTGCGTGAAATTTATATCTCAGTGAAGTACGCAATCACATTCGTCGTTATCAATTGGAACATAACTCAATCCCATCTGTTTCCCTTCCCTTAATCTCTCTCTATGTATCCTTAAATATTATCTTATCCTTAATTTTTTTACAGTTAGAGATAATGCTATTAACTGTGTTCCTAAACCAATTATCCCACATATTCTTACTATGAATGCAACTTATGCATGCATTTATACCTGCACCATAATGTCCTGCTATCAGATACAAATTTCAAAAGTATATACCTGTGGGTTAAGCCCGGCCAGCGTCTCGTTACGCCAACATCTGTGCCTGCAACAAGTACACTTGATTCATGCGGAAGAAAAGTTAACGTCCACTCTTGGTCTTGGAAGTACAGAGAATCACACAAATGGCACGTCGCAACGACTCCAAAAATCAAAGTATGCGCTAATTAACAATGTCAGTTGTCAGGCAGTCATAGTCACGTACTTATAAAAGTATATTGTTTATTTATGCGCACTTAGGTAAAAGTCATAAATGTTAATTTTTCCAGTATGCTTAGTTCTATCATCAAAAACTATCTATCTATATATATATATATATATATAATATTTTATAAAATTATATAGTCTGATGTTTCAAATATTCAATATTATGAGAAATTCATACATTTTTATTCTTAATTAATTATATAAATGTTCCAGAGAAAACTATTTACAGTTATAAAAAAAAATTCTGAGTATTTTATTATAAATACATTAGAAGAAATTTTTAATAGAATAAAGTATATATTATTACATTTCTTCAAAATAATAAATTTTATTTATTAATAATAATTTTGAAAAAAATACTACAAAATCAGAAAAAAAATTTTATATTTTTAAAATATATTTTATACAGAGAGATATGGCTGTTCACAAAAATGATTAAAGAATTCTTTTTGAATCTAATTAATTTATTTTATAAAAATGATTAAAATTCTTACACATTAGTAAATAATATAAAATATTAATATTATTAAATTTTTAATTATTAAATAACATAAAAATTATTTAAATTTTAGAGAGAGAATATATTAGACATTGATATTTACATTTTTACTAATTCAAATATAAAAAAAATCATTTATATAAAGTATCTTTGAAGAAAGTTTTGAAAACATTATGACAATATAAAATACAGTCGCTGGTTAGATATTGAAAAAAAAAATAAAATCAACTTGCAGGCTTAAGATAGAGAACTTATACGCGCGTGCGTGTGTGTGTGTGTGTGTATGTATGTATGTATTACATCTCCTATATGAAATACACATATTTCATTATTTCGCTGTAAATGTTTTAATGGTCAAGAATTATGTTATTTTACAAGAAATATTCTTCTTGTAAAATATAAGTATATACATACATCACAAACATATATGTATAATAACTACTTCAATTTTAAGAAACACAGATTCCATTGAATATTAAAGTTCTAGAAGTAGAAAAATTTATAGATTATTCCTTTATAGGTGAACTAGCTTCATTGAGAGAATCCGAAAACAAATACAGACAACAATATATAGAGGCATCTCACAGGGAGAAGATCTTAGTGAGGAGGCTTGCCTCTAAAGAGCAGGAATTACAAGAGTATATTGTATGTAACCATTTTCAGACACATCAAAATTATAATACAGTTTGTCTTGCAAAATTTATTTTTACATGATCTTATATTTAAAAAAATTTTTTTTTATTATTATAGAATCAAATAACTGAAATGAAAGCCACCCAAGCTCCGTCCACAGCTGCATTAAGATCCGCTCTGTTAGATCCGGCTGTTAATATATTAATACAGAAATTAAGACAAGAGTTAATAACAACCAAGGGCAAATTAGAGGATACGCAGAATGAACTAAGCGCATGGAAATTCACCCCGGATAGGTCAGAAAAACTTTATACATGAAATAAAAGACACCACACGCAACACAAGTGTTTTTTCATTAAATTAAATATTTTATTTACAGTAATACGGGGAAAAGATTAATGGCAAAGTGTAGGTTGTTATATCAAGAAAATGAAGAACTTGGTCGTATGATTGCCAGTGGACGTATTGCTAAATTAGAAGGCGAACTCGCTCTACAAAAGAGTTTTAGTGAAGAAGTGAAAAAATCACAATCAGGTATTATTAATCAGTTATTCATTAAATTATTATTAATTTTTACTAAGTAATTATTACAATTAAAATCGGATATTATGATCAAAATATTTCAAATATAACTAATACGTTTTTATTTAATTTATTTTTTACAGAATTAGATGAGTTTCTGCAGGATTTAGATGAAGACGTAGAGGGTATGCAGAGCACTATTTACTTTTTGCAACAAGAACTGCGTAAGGCACGAGAATCTGTCACGCTACTGCAACAGGAGAATGCAGCATTAAAGACCAATACAAACGAAAATAATTTATCGAATGGTTTATCGCCCCATACGCCACCAATTAAGAAAGAGGAACAGGAAGAAACTGCAATACTAGATACAAAACCTCCGAAATCGATGGAGGATAGTGATATGTGCAAAGGTGTGAGGACTCCGCCGTTGGCATCGCCCCAGAGTGAGCTTACCAGTGTCGAAAGAACAGAACGTGCGGAGAGAAAACTTAATCAAGCCGATCACAATGACGAGAGTTCCAGCGATTCCGCGGCGTTAATTATTAAAGTTGAGAACGAGGAACTTAGTGATAGGGAAGAAGAGCAGGAGGAAAATCGGAATAAACGAATATTAAGAAATAAAAATCACAGTAGGAATAGTGGTAAATCGAACGGGGAGGAGGTGACAACACGAACAACACGGGGTAGGGACAGGATAAAGAGGGAGAAAAGTGCAGCCAGTAGTGATGATGAAAGGACGCACAAGAAGAAACGTAGGGAAAGCATTCTTTCTCTCGATTATAACGAAGCCGATGACGATGCGTTAGTTTTAACTAATGGCGAGACTCTACAGAGTGATCCCGAATGAATATTAATTTAGGTTAATTTGGACAACATTAACCACACGTATGGTTGAAATTCGCGATATATGATTTTAACATCCACTATGTACAAAATTTTTCATCTAAAGCAACGCGTCGGTTGCCTATTTACAAGATATTGTTCGAATAAAAAAATAATTAGCCATAAAGAAATGTAATTTCAGTACCTGTATTCGTGATAAACTGCAAAGGATAAATATTCACATTGGTCTCTAAAATGACAAACCTGTAAATACTCTTATACCATTAGATCGATATAAAGTTCGTTTACGTCAAGTTACTTGCAAATGACCAAGTTGCGTATTACATTACAAAGATGTATCAGATGAAAAATCTGAATAGGTTAATATAATTTATTACAGTCAAAATATACGCTGTAAGAAGAAATCAGAACAATCAAACTTTGTTTGTATTTTGTAAATTTATTGTATTAAAAACTATGTAAAAATCAACAAGAGCTTTGGTTCGTCAGTAAAAAAACAAGGATAATTCGGAAAATATTGTCAAGAATTAATAAAAAAATCGCCTGACCATATTACGTAAATAAACTTTAATATTTTCAGGCATAGGAAAGCGAACTGTGAGATTTTCGCATGATTATGTACATACGTGACGGTCTGATGTACATATGTATTTTTGTGCAATATATGAGGCATCGACCGCAATTTTAGGTTGCTTTTAATTTTTTAATTTTTCAAATAATTGGAAAAAAACATGACAAAATATACAATATTAATCTTAGTAATGTATATGGGTTGATCTCACAGACTGATATATTAAACTCACATTTTTAATTTTCCTAAACTAAATTGAAATTTGTATAGTGTTTATATAGATATACTTTATATTGTCTATATATGCAAATTTGTTTTATATCATCTCCATAAAAAAAATTTGCGCTTTCAATTTTATTTGTAGTCTATACTGTAAGAAAAGAAACGGTAGATATCAAAAACATAAACTTGCATTAAAAAGAAAAATGTTATAAGACAAGACGCATGATATTTCATCTCAAATTTTTTGTATATAGTGCCATTATTCTTGTATAGAAGATTTTAATAATTTCTAAGATACGAGCGACAAAGAATAAAGTGCTTTTTTTTACGCACATTTTGCAATTAAAGCATGGTGTCTTCTTTTCTTCAAATAATTAAGAACGATTAGAAACAACTTTATATTTCGATAAGAATTAAATTTTGCTTACGCGATGTAGAACGTCCGCGTGTTAGTTTACACTAATCTTACCATTAAAAGTATGCTAACATGAATTGTGAATCTTCAACTGCAAAACATGATTATTAAAGGATTCCTTATTCAGACTGAAAATATGTTAATTTCTTTCCATTCCAAACTTGGCACACTTGATTATATAACTGCGTAGTAAATATGTATACATTTACATGGGTATTGAAAAAAATAAAAAATTTAAAGATAATTTCTAAACGAGAGAATTAAAAGTAAATAGATAAATTCTAATTTCAAATTTAATACATCATATTTCGAATTATAAATATAATTCTTTGCACATAAAAAATTTCAATTTTAAAGGAAATGAATATTTTTGCTCATTTTATATTTTAACGTTAATGGTATGTATAGTTCAGCTCATTCAATTATAAAAAAGTTTTTAATTTTTTTTTTATTTCCGCTTGAAAATGGCACTTTGCCGCAAGAACCATCAACAATATGATTCTACGCGAATTTCCATTCTTGACGTCAATATCGTAGCATTCAGCGAATATGTAAGTTGGTTTGTATGTGATGTATCGTATTAGCATAGTAGTGGTAGTCAGTGGTGGTGCAGAACAGTGTAGAACTGTGGAGAAACACAGAACTCTGCAGAATCGTACAGGGCGATCGCAAGATCCGCAAGTAGAATCCTTGCAAATCCAGGGAAAGATCGAATCGCATTCTCCCGAAAAATAGTTCACGTATCGCTTCAATTATGTTCGCAGCAAGACGTATTCTGGTCTCCAAGTCAATGTAAGCATGACGAAAATCGCCGAATTCGATGCTGTTTTCACATTATGTAATTTCTAACCTGCCACGCAATCTCTCGACATGTTTGCATATTTCGTGTATACCTATGTAACGAGCAATTGTATTACCGAACTCTTGCACGAATCGTTTGACGAATCAATGAATTGTTAATGATTTATACAAAACTGTATGTTAGTACACTTTCTGTACTTTTCGTACAGAATCCGACGTAGCAACGTGTTCACAGCTGATCGGCGAATTGTCAAAAGAAATAAGTTGTCTTCAATTTAAAATTTTAGTTTTCCCCGAGATTTTTCCTCAATTTGTTGAAAGATTTATTTATTAGTTTATGATTCTGGAATTGACATACATATAAATACATTGGCCTCCAATCAGGAAAGATGCGATATAAGTTGAATTTTCAAATACTCTTCAAAATCTCAATTTCTCTTTCTAAAGAGAATAATACAAAAAATATATAAAATTTAAAACAAAAATAGCTTAATTTTTAATAATGTAAATGAATAATTTTACTGAAATGTGTGTCCTCCGAAAGTTATTTTGCAATATACATTTTTTTTTAATAAAAAATATATATCTCTATATAGTTATCTAGCATACTTTTTATGTATGCTTTTCGACATATTTTTTCCTATTATATTCTTTACAATTGTCTACAAATAAAAATTATTTAATTCTGTAGACTTTATAGCGATAATATCTATTTTAATTGAAATTATACTGTTCTTAATACATAGATAAAAATATATGAATAAAAAGGAGGAAATGAAAAAATTATAACACACATATTTTAAACAGAAAAAACAAAAGTTTTCAATTTGGAATGACAGCAAAAGCTTATTTACTTAATATTATTTGTTATTTTATAATGTATGGTACTTTTTATTAATAATATATATTATAATGTGTATACTATATAGTATTATTTTAATTAAATATGTATAATATAATATAATCCCTTCTATTATCTGTGATTAATGCAGCAAGGATGTATTTGTGAGATCAAAGCATTCACTTCCGGATTTGCCGTACGAATATAAAGCTCTGGAGCCTATCATATCCAGTGAGATCATGGAGCTCCATCATTCCAAGCATCACGCAACCTACGTTAACAATCTAAACATCGCCGAGGAAAAAATGCGAGAGGCAGTTGCAAAAGGCGACGTCAATACACAAATCGCCCTGGGCCCGGCTATCAAATTCAACGGTGGTGGTCATATCAATCATTCAATTTTTTGGTGTAATCTTTCGCCCCATGGTGGAAATCCAGATGGTAATATAAAAAAACATATTAAACTTTCTATTAAATCGATCACTTCCTCCAATTAATGTAAAAAAAATATGTAGTTGAATAATGGTCTATTTAGTTTATTTATTCAGTAAATAAAAAATAATTCTTATAAAATTTTATTTTTATGATCTTTGTCAAGTCAGAGTAAAATTACACAATTAAAAATTGATATTTTATTGGTGATTAGGTCATGAACTTTGTAATGTATGATTTTATAAACTTTCAAAAAATCAAAAATTAAAATAAGGATTAAGTCACTTCAATAAATAGGGGAGGAAGGGGGAGAATCTTAGAAGTTAAAGAATTTTTATTTCTTAGGCATAAAAAGAAAAATAAATAGCTGATTAATAGAGGTAAATAGTCAATTATTTTAGATCTTTCCTTGAAAAAAAGAACCTAAATATGTGAGAGATAATTATGATTAGAAATATTTTTCAATTTTATACATTATAAAAAAATACTAATAAACAAAGCTCTCGATGTCAAAAGAATAAAAAGAACAATTTAAAGGGCAATTCGAGAGTTTGATATTGATAAATAGAAATAAGACGCTATTACATATAAAAAATTAGAAATATAATTAAGACAAATTCAAACTGCATACATAACATGTTTCAGCTCCTGGATTGAGTCTTCTTCAGATGTAAACAAAACTATTTTATTGTAGTTGTTTTTTTTTTATATGTAATAACGTCTTATTTCTATTTATCGATGACTCTCGAATTGCCCTTTAAATTATCCTTTTTATTATAATATTATAATCAAAATATGTGTGTATGTGTGTTTGTTATTTTATATAAATATATATATATATTTTATATAAATATATATATATATTTATATAAAATTGTACAGATAAATGATATATTGTATCTTTTTTTACTTAGCTGCCCTTTCGAAGCTAATCAACAAAGATTTTGGTAGTATGGAGGAAATGAAGAAATCCTTATCCCAGATTACCGTGGCAATTCAAGGCTCCGGTTGGGGTTGGCTTGGATACGATCAGAAGACCAAGTCGCTGAGGATAGCGACTTGCGCGAATCAAGATCCACTGCAATCCACTACCGGTCTCATTCCTCTCTTTGGTATCGACGTGTGGGAGCATGCCTATTATTTACAATACAAAAACGTACGACCTGTTTATGTGGAAGCAATCTTCGACATTATTAACTGGAAGGATGTAAACGCACGCTTCAAAAACGCCACTGGTTGTTAAGGCTCAACAAAGTCGTTTAGCATTTAAGTCTGTTTTTTTTAGATACTAAGGTACGTTTAAAGTGATGCTTCTATTAGGATTGAATGATATCATCAGGAACACAATCAGCAATTCTCCTGTAATTTCATGTATGTTTTTCTTTTCTACACTGTACATGATTACAATCGTGAGTGACAAGTAAAACAAATGTGAAAATAAATGTAAAAGTATGTACTTTTAGTAGATTAGTACATTTCCTTATCCTTAATATAGACTGTAACTCTATTTTGTATCTTAAAAGTGATAAATGAAGGAGATATATAAAAACATTCGAATTTGTAGTTAATAGGTTTTGATTCTTGGCCTATATATTTCTCGCCAAATAAAGCAACGAGAAATCACATTTTATAAACTTTTTCTTTGTTTTTCAATTGTTATGAAAAGAAATAAAACTATAAAGATCTCTAGACTTAGGCAAGTTATACAATTATTTCTATAATAACCATCAATGGAAGATTTAATATATATTTAAAATATGCATTTTCAAAATAAAGTCATAAACTTTTTATTCTTTTAAACTATAAAATTGTAAAATTATATTCAGAATACTGAACACTGTTGACAGAGGAATTTAACATATTCAAGAATTACAAAGAATTTATCTCACTTGCTAAGAAAAGATATATGTACATATATATATATCTATACATATAGAAATAAATGGAAAGTGTGTTAACATTTCTTATTCAAATGCATCTTATATAAAATCAATTTTTTATCAGATCACAAATTATGAAAATTATTTTATATATGTTAATTAGTAATAATTTGTCACACATAGATATATATATATATATATATATATATATATATAAATTGGTTAACAAAAATAGATATAACACACTTAAGCTGTTGGTTAATAACGTGATAGATACAACACACATAAGCTGTAAAGCATGTATTTACAAAATAACAGTAAAAATAAAATAAACAATTATATACATTATGCATTATTATTGAAACAAATTATTCTTTCATATTCAATTTAAAACTATTTAGTGTTTATAAAATTCGATAAAAATAAAAATCTCTTCACAATATAAAAAAAATTTATAATTTTAATAAAATTTCTTTTAATCGCGCATTTCAAATTTTCAGATATAAATAAGATATTTCAAAAGATGAAATGGATCGATGAGAGGAGACGAATCTAGGAAAGATCACTTCCGACAAATCACCAGGAAACGAGGTTATGTTCGGGAATCACCAGCTGTGATTCATTCGAGTTTCCAGGAAGTGAAACAGCGCGCGGACCGCGCCGTCTGCGTATGCGCGGGAACAAGATTGTGATCTTTATTCTTTATCCTCCCGCGGATATTCAGGGCAAGAACGCGCAGGTCCTCCGCGGTCACTGCTGGCCACTGCGAGTCGAACGTAGACGCGAGCGGACGCGGACGACGTCGTGACACACACACACACACACGTCCCGTTCGTTTGCAGCAACGTGTACGTCACGAAGATTTAAACGAAGAACGACGGAGTCGTGAGACAAGAGAGGACACAGAGGTGTATTGCAAAACAAGACGAAGGACTGAAGTCTCGCGCGTGCGAGAGACTCGGAACAATCGATCGTAGGCGTCGGACCGCCGCGCCGGGGAAGTCGGGGCAACCGAGTGGCGTCGCGACGCACGGCGTGCAACGCTCGGCGCTCACCGCTTCCGTGGAACGTGTGCCGTCGCCTCGGTGCCTGAGCCAGTATGGCCGTAGGACCTCAGCTGTTTTCACGTCACTGCCTACGTATCTGGTGAGTCGTCTCGAGAAGCTCCTTTTTTTTCTTCATCGTTCGCGCGTACTATTAACTCACACTAACTTCTCGCCCCTCTCTCTCTCTCTCTCTCTCTCTTTCTTTCTCTCTCGGACGCAACCTGTCACGCGCGAAAACGTGCGTGCGTCATGATCGCAATCGCGCGTCTTTACGAGCACTGTGCGAACGGCCTCGTAAGTAATCGCAATATCGCGTCGTATTACCGCGACAAATAATCATTTATTCAAACCACTCCGTCGTTGTTATCGACGGCAAGTGCACGGCGGCGTCCCGAGCGTTTTCGAAGCGCTAAACGATCGAATCGCCGTTGTCCTGTCACTCTTCGGGGTAAAACGTCGGAAACGAATCTCCACGCAAATTACTAGATGAGCGACGAAAGTGAATTGTTCTGTTTTTTTTTTTTTTTTTAAATTCAGCTAAATCTCCAAATTGTGGTGTTTCGTGCGAATTGAAAATTTTAGATAGTCAGAGATATGTGTGAAACTGAGAAATTTTCTCGAAACGTCAAACTGAAACTCCGCGATTGTTAATGTTATTGAAAATATAAGGTGAAGTTAGCCACGGTAGTTGATTATCCCGAATCTTTCCCGAATCTTTCGTTTATAGTCTTCTTGATGTTTTATCTGAAAGATTTCCGCTTACCATAACCGTCACTCGTAAATTTTGAACTTTAAATTTTATACGTTAAATATAGATGTGTTCTTATCTTTTTCCTTTAAATATGCTTATCTTTGCTAGGGTTAAACATATGTATTTTTTCCTACAGTGAAATTTTTATTTTCATCTTTGATTTAAGAAGAAAACCTGCGATCTTCTATAAAGATTAATTATTTGCAATTTGGGATTATTCTTTATCAATTTGGAACAATCGACGATCAAGGTGGAATGGTTAGAAAAAAGAAATATTAAAAGCCCGATATAAAGGATATACATTATTTTTATCGGTGCAAGAAGAAAATGGAATAGATTGACATTTACGAGAAAGTAAAAAATATATATATAATTATATTTTTACATCAGTTTCTATAAAAATTTCACTTTTCCGTCATATCTGTTATTTGATTGATTCAATAGACAAAATCTTTTTATACTAAAAAGGAAAAAGTAAGAAATACATTTGACGTAAGTATATAATCATACGTTAAAATATGCAATTTATTGTTTGCAAATTGATAGTATTAAAAATTTTATCCTTATCTCTTGTAACCATAAAAATGATCTTAGAATAAGAATTCGATGACGACGCTATTCTTTGACGTTATCTTTTATCTAATTTTTCATGAAATTTTTGATAAGTTTTCATAAATTCTTGAAATTAAACGAATGTTTGATGTGAGCGAAATTCTCTGTGAGATTTAACCGAAAATTACAATATTGCAGGAATGAACACGAATAACTGAGAATTTCGAGAGGCAATCGATTAATCATAGATTCAATTAAGTTTCAATTGATTTTCTAAATAGAAAGGCCGGACGTTGAACGTACGCATACTCACAATGAAATTACGATTCGAAATTTCTATTAATAGCTGCACTAGTCTGTAAATTTTCTCTTTTGGATCATTGTCCGAACGAACTTTATGGTTTCCCGTAGATTTTTAGATGCTAAACACAAATTCGTTTTCTAAAGGATATATTAAGAAAAAATTAGAAAGGCCATCAAGTAGTCAAAATCTCCAAAAGACACTATTTCTTTTACTTATATTTTATTTTTAGCAAAAATTGATTCTTTTAACATTCTGCGAAAAAGAGTAGATTTTTTGCCTTAAATTAGAAATAATGTTTTTTTTTTTGTAGATTTTTACTTTTTGAATGCGATGAAGTTATTAAAAAGTTCATGGTGTTTAGAGATTACCTCAAAAGTTAGCAAGAGCAAGTACATGGAAATTTAGATAAATATAATGTTTATGCTTAATTTTTGAAGTGTTCTTCAAACGCTACGAATTTTTAAATAATTTTATCGTATCCAGAAGGTATCAAAATACACAAAAAACAATATTCCTTTTACTTACGTTGCACCTTTTTGATGCAGAAATCAGTTGCTAAAATTGACTTATTGGTAATATTTTATTTGTTTTATTCAGGCCCGTTAAACTTAAAAAGAAATGCCTGTATATATTTTCAATTCAATCTACGATTCAAATTAAAATGATACTCCAATATTTCTGTCAAGAATCTGAAAAGAAATCCGAATTCCGAATTGGAAAACCTGAATACCCCAACATAGACTCTCAACGGAAAATCTATAACTACTTCTAATTTGTTTGAAAATCTCAATGACATCAATCCACGATCAATCTATCATATCACTCTCATTGTGTCTCAACCCGCCAGTCACAGGTCGTCATAGAGTACCACTTCGGATTGACTGAAGCGAAATGGCATGGATATAACGATTTCTGTGGAATACAGGGGTAGTAGGTGGTGCAGGAAGGGGGATTAAAGGGTTCGCGAAGGTTACGACGAGCCATAAGCAACGTTCTGCCGACGTAAACGAAGTGCGAGGATTAGGATAGGTCAGTAGTGATCAACATTTTGAATATCGTGATACTAATTTGGTGATCGATACTTCGAATAACTTCGAATAATTTCTGAATTCGCGTAACGGGCGATGGATTTGTCAACTTGCTCTTCAAACAGCGTGCTTTGTGTGAGACTTTAATCTGTTCATTAATTGCCGATTTTCTCGATTAAACTAAACTGGGGAAAAGTCAAAATTTCTTGATACATCAATGACTCAAGACAATGAATACCCTGTATCAGCATACATATACATATATATCAATAAAATGAGAATGAACGATATCTGTTGTTTAGAGGAATGAAAATGTTTCATATATTTAGTATCTGTGATACTGTTATTTCCTTAATTACGAATTATTGTTTTAAATTTGTTGCGATTTTCTCTTATATGATCAACGATCCGTCTGAGGTTATCTCCTTTTATTTTATAACTGCTCGCTCAATTTTTATATGAAATATCTATGGGTAATTTAATAAATGTTTTATTCAAATTTGAGGTACAAAATAAAGGATTAAAAATGATTTCGTTTTATTTGAAGCTTGTTAGTGCTGATTTTCAAATTCTGATTATGAACCCTCCTTTGTGGAGATTACTATCTTTTTGAAATTCGATATTTTTAGGCTATATTCGAATCTCGGAAAATATCAAAAACCTCCTAAAATTGAGTTTCACGATAATCAGGGGTTTTTTGAAATTTGAATTATACAATTCTGAGACTAAAATTGATTTCAGAGATCTCAAAAATCTTTAGGAAACAAAATCTTCCACAAGTTACTTTATAATACTTCTGTAAGTTGCCAAAGGAAACTCCAGTCCTCAAAGAGTAGGAGAAATACTAATATAAATCAGAAATAGATACGAACTTTTGAACCATACGCCCTTAATCATGAATGTATAATTAACATAGGTACGGACTACCTATTTCAAATCAATTTTTAATAAAGTATTAAGAGAAAGGCAATTCTTCGTAAGACTTATTTGATGCACTATTAAAAATTCCAGAAATCGTGATAATAAATGACATTTAATGTGTTATTTTAGAAATCAAAAGTATTTAAAATTATAGGCGTTTTTGTTAAAACTGATTACTTCAATTTCTAAACATCTGTTACGGTTATTCGATTAACTCGCTTAAACAACTAAAAAAATTGTTCCTTTCGAGAATCGTTACATATATATAGTAACGTATGTGTAGATCGTGCGAGGAGTTGTTAATGCTCTAACATAAATTTATGTATGGTATGTACGTATCGAAGTATATATGCATTACCAATATTCGATAAGCGACTAAATTCACGTAAGATAATTCACATTAAGATATTAACGATCTCGCGTGTACGTATGTACAATATGTACATACATTGGCACTTTTAGCCGAGTAAATTGAACGGATCAATATAAGAACTCAATTTTGTAAAGTCACATGTTTCCAGAAAGACTCGTTGTTTCATTCCATAAATACATTTTATTCGATTAAATAATTAGATCTTGAATATAGATCTTTGGATGTAGACCCCGCGAATAACTGAAACGTTCTTCGTGACTCTTCCACGAACTCGGAGAATTAGATGTGATGTCTATTTAAAAAAAATGTGCCTCCAGGAGAAATCTAAATTGATCAGGAAATCCGGAAGAAAGGGAAGTAGGAAAGTATAGCTGACTCATTCGTATATATAATAACATATTGTATCCTCATTCAATAGCCTCGTTTTACGGTGTGTGCTGTTTAACAAGGAGATCGTTGACTCGCCTCGTTGAATCTTCTATAACCCGAAATTTTGTTCTCAGAAATATCCTGAGGCATATTCTGGCGACGCAGCGACGCCGAGCGTCGGCGTAGCGTCCTCGCGCGCACGACGCATTGCATATATAAAGTAATCCCTCCCTCCCCAGGAGGGATGGAGGCGCGATGTCACTGCGCGTGAAAAGGGGATGATTTTTGTATGGTTAATCGACGTCAACATCGAGGAAAGTGGGCATCGGGGCCTTCCCAATGACATGTGTAGGCACATACGTGCATATGTGCGCGCGCGCGCGGTACCGTCGGCGATGTCGTGGGTATCTTTATTTATTGATTGCTCTGTGAAAATTGGCCGGCGCCGCCTGCGTCGCATCGGTCGATCGTCGGGTTGCAGGCTGACGTCACTCGGTCTGCTTCCACGAGCTATTGATTTTCTTCCACCTCCTAGACGCGACGCGATTGGTCCATAAACCGAGAAAGCGGCCAGACACAGCCCTGGACCACCACCGACGCGCGCAACCCTTGTATTTTATGTATGTAAATGTTAGGTGTATGTATATATATACATATACGTATATATAGAATATATGTGGGAGAGACACGTGCGAACGTAAATATGTTTGTGTGCGTGTGCGCGCGCCACGTTGATTCCAATTCAACTACCACCTTCTAGTGTTACATCGGTGTCGCGATGCCATCTAAGAGGTAGGAAGAA